GTTGAGTGTGATGTTTCAACACCGACAGGGATTTCACAGGAAAGAGCCACAGATGGTGAAAATGAGCCAGAAACAGAACTTGGAAATATGAATGAGCCAGCCAGTTGGTGATGAGCCAGATGCTATTAGTTTTGAGCAGGGGAGCAATCCTCTCTACCTGAGAGTGTTGAGCAGGGGGAGCTACCTTCAGCATCAAGTGATGTAGAGTCTCAGCCCAGGAGATCTACTAGAGAGCGCAGGCCATCTACCAGGTATCCAAGTTCAGATTTTATTTTAGTTACCAGTGAAGGGGAGCCAGAAAGCTTTCAAGATGTGCAGGCTACTCCGGATAGAGAGCACTGGTTAAAAGCAATGAAAGAAGAGATGGAGTCATTGCGAAAGAATGGTACTTATGATCTTGTTAAACTTCCAACAGGGAAGAGGCCATTAAAGAATAAATGGGTGTTCAAGTTGAAAAAGGATGGTGACAAACTAGTGAGGTACAAAGCTCGATTGGTAGTAAAAGGTTTTTCTCAGAAACCAGGCATCGATTTTGATGAGATTTTTGCTCCAGTTGTAAAAATGAGTTCTATTCGAGTGGTACTGGGATTGGCAGCTAGTTTGAATCTTGAACTTGAGCAACTTGATGTTAAAACTATTTTTTTACATGGTGATTTACAGGAGGACATTTATATGAATCAGCCTGAGGGTTTTGAAGTGAAAGGGAAAGAGCACTTAGTTTGCAAATTGAAGAAAAGCTTGTATGGCTTGAAACAAGCTCCGCGACAGTGGTACAAGAAGTTTGATTCTTTTATGGTGAGTCATAACTATAAAAAAACAGCAGCGGATTCTTATGTGTATGTTAAACAATTTTCTAATGGTAACTTCATTATCCTATTATTATATGCTGATGATATGTTGATTGTAGGACAAGATGCTAGTATGGTTTGTAGGTTGAAAGAACAATTGTCTAAGTCTTTTGATATGAAGGATTTAGGTCTAGCAAAGTAGATTCTTGGTATGGACATTATCCGGGATAGGAGAGCTGAAAAGCTATGGTTGTCACAGGAAAAGTATGTTGAACGAGTGCTTGGTAGATTCAACATGCAACATGCTAAATCAGTTAGCAGTTCACTTGCCAACCATTTTCATCTAAGTAAGAAATCTTGTCCAGTGTCTAAGAAAGAGCAACTAGCTATGTCTAGTATTCCTTATTCTTCTGCAGTCGATTTTTTAATGTATCTTATGGTTTGTACAAGGCCTGACATTGCTCATGCAGTTGGTGTAGTCAGCAAATTTCTTTCTAATCCAAGGAAGGTTCACTGGGAAGCAGTGAAATAGATTTTTAGATATTTGAGGGGTACCTAAAAAATGTGCTTGACTTATGGAGTTTCACAACCAGTTCTAGAAGGGTTTACTGATGCTGACATGGCAGGCGATCTTGATGGTAGGAAATCTACTTCAGGGTATTTATTCACTTTTGCAGGAGGAGCTGTATCTTGGCAGTCTAAGTTACAGAAGTGTGTTGCTTTGTCAACTACAGAAGCTGAGTATATTGCAGCAACTGAAGCATGTAAAGAAATGTTTTGGATGAAACGTTTTCTTCTTGAATTGGGGTTGAATCAGAAAGAGTATGTGGTATTTTGTGATAGCCAGAATGCTTTAGATTTGAGTAAGAATACCATGTACCATGCTAGAACAAAGCACATTGATGTTAGATATCATTGGTTACGTTCAGTGATTGAAGAACAGCAGATGTTATTGAAGAAAGTCCATACTGATAAGAATATAGCAGATATGTTGACTAAGATACTTCCTAGGGAAAAGCTTGAGCTTTGCAGTAACTTGGCCGGAATGAGTTCCCTGGCCAAGGTAAGTTCCAAATGAAATTGCTATGGTGATGAATCTCCTTCTAATGGGACTGGAGGGGGAGATTGTTAGGAAAATGGGGTCCAGTCCCATGTAAGTGGTTTTGGACCAAGTAAAGGCCATGGGCCTTGATCTTTTATTTTACACAGAGCCCTAGCTACTTAATAAAAAAAAAGGTGGGGTTGTTTTAGGTGTGTGTCGAAAACCAAGCAAAGAAAGAAGAAAAGCCAGGAAAAGCAGAGAGAGAAAAAAGAGAAGAGAAAGTTGGTTGAACGGAAGTCAATCCGTAGTCCGATTGAGTTGGAACCTTGTCAGGAGGTTTATGATTCAGAGTTCTACATTCTGAACGGTGAAGATCGGGTTTGAAGCTCTCTAGGAACAAATCCAGGGTGTATTTGTTGAGTCACTTATTTGGTGAGATTTCTCCAATTGTTTCTCTAGTTGTTGATTAGCTCTAGTTTTAGCTAGAGAAGAACTTTGTATAACTATTATTTGATAGTGAAGATTTTTTTGGTGGCTCGTGGTTTTTTCCCTCTACACTGAAGGGTTTTTCACGTAAATTTTGGTGTGCTTTATTTTTCCTGCATATTTGATTATTGATTGCTGTCTATTGCTTCTGTGTTGTTGTGATTATTGCTTCAGGCGCAACAATTTTATTTGTGACAAAATAAAAAAAAATTTAGACTAATTTGTATACAATTAAAAATAGAACTTATTTGTACAAAAGGTTGAAGCCATATTTGGATTAAAATTAATTATTTTTATGAGATATAATTATATGATTCATTAATAATATTCTGCTAAGTTGCGGAAGGATATTCATAAAGTACAACAGAAACAAGTTTTCCTGGTTCTAAAACTTTTCTTTTCTCCCTACTTTCTGGTTATGGAAAAAGAGATTAATGAAGCAGTTAACCTTTAACCACCGATGAAGGAACTCAACAAATAAACAGACTTTAAGTAACTACAAAGGAAAGACCAAATGAATCTCTAAGAAGTGGCTGGCTGGTACCTACAGCAACTTCGCATATATTTGCAAGCACATTTGATTTCTTCGAGTATCACTCTATGTACAGCTCAATTTCAATCACAAACTTCACAAATTCATTGGCAACTTAACTGATTAAATGTTAATAGAAGTTCTCTAGAACCAACAGATTACACAAAGGACGGTAGTACTTCATATACTTTCTTACATGAAACAACTGATTAAAATATCAGAACATATGATGAACTATTTATCTAGTACATTTTTGTTTTAACCATTGAGTTCAATATATACAAGGGACGAGATTAAATAATTTTTTTTCTTTTTATTAACTTGTGTCTCTTATTTCTTAAATCCATTGAAATTAATAATTAAAAAAAAGTGTAGAACTAAAAAATTTCACACTAGTGTAAATTTATCCCTTCTCTTCGTCAAGCCCTCAAAAGATTTGTCTACTTGCTTAGGTGGTTAGAAAATCATCAGTGCTTTAAGGTCTGTAATGCTCAGCTCAGCCATAATTCACTCTAGCTCTGTTGATCTATGTTTGTTTTAAACAAATAACATGCACCTGTAAGCAAACCATGGTTATATTATATTAAGAATACTCATTTAGACATTCAACATTAACCCTCCAACCACACTTAATTTGCTTTAAACAAATGAGCTTAATGATCAGTAAAAGAGTTCATATCCTATATGTTCTATAAGATGTGAATCAATCTCGTGTTTCTTGACTGATTTGGATAAGTAAGCTGTCTCTGTACTGTAAAGATACAATCCTGACAAGTACACTGATCCAACGTAAAGCTGTCAAATTGCCTAAGTAATATTGATAAAACTATAAATATACATAAGCTCTTGGGTGACCCAACTGCTACATTGAAGGGTGAACAAAGAAATGAGTAAATCAAAAGATAAAAAGTATCAGCTTGGTTGAAATCTAGTATTTTACATGAAAATATTTTGGAATTTCGTGATCATTATCATCACCTTGAAGGAGATCAGACTCTGTCATTAGTTGCCTTCCTCGAGGGAGACTAAACTCTATGTAATTAACAACAGCTATAAAACGTGCACGACCGTCAAATTCAACAATTGTCTTATATTCATTATTATCAGGGTAATATGCCGTTAGCCTTGAAAAAGTTTCCAAAAGCAACTCTCCGTTCACCCCGAATCCTAAAAAATATCGGATATCACTATGTTCAGAAAATTCAATAGCATGCAGTTTAGTCCATGATCCTTCAACACCGTAGTCCTCCATCACCCATATATCATATCGTATAAAACGCACACAATTAACCACACAGCAAATCCCCATTTACATCAATCCTCACATCCCAGCATTTTTTAGCAAAACAAACTGGCGATGAAAAAGCTGGAATTCTTCACTGCTAACATCAAAACTAACTACGCATCTCTTCGTATTTTTAAGTCCTAACCAATGAATAGCCCCATTAAGAAAAGCCCGACGTTCATAATGACGAAAATTAATATCAAGTAATCCCACTGTTCTCCAACAATTCATTCCCAACGTGTATACTTCAGCTCGGCTTCTATAACGTCTCCTCCCCTCACGGTCATCATTAAATACAATTATCCTAAAAACTCAAGAATTTAAATAGCGGTCGCGATTACGTTTTCGATCGCATAACATTTGTCGTGATTTCAGATATAACGGAATAATTGCGTCACTACGAAATAATGATTTTAAAAATAGTTTATGACACTATGTTTTTTATTTTCTAAAAAAATTATTCACAGTTTTATTTAGATTATAAAAAGCATTCATATTTGGTTTATCCATAAAATTTTTCATGGCCAAGTTCATATTCAATATTAATTTTAGACAAATCAAATATTAACAAAACATAATATGTTAAATACCAAGCATTTAATTTAATAAAATTACAAACTTAAAAATATAATAATTTCAAGTTCCATCAACTACAATTATTGATATATATTTCAAATTTTACCACATGGTAGAATGACGAGGAGGATCAAATTCTCTATCTTCACTTTGAGAGCCAAGTTGACTCCATATCCATCCCCGAGGCCTTTGTTCTTGATACATTTGAGGTGGAGGATATATTTGAGGATGATACATTTGTGGTGGAGGGTACATTTGTGGTAACTGATACATTTGAGGTGGATGATATATTTAAGGAGGTGAAGGATACATTTGAGGTGGATAATAACCATATGGAGGTGGATAACCATAAGGAGATCGAAAATTAAATTGATCTGGTGGATAGTAATGTCTTTGAGTACTAGCATATGATTCACTATACTCAAAGTTACTAGAATTTGGTCTTCCACCTGAAGATAAAGAACCTCTAAAAATATCATAATGGTGTTTCTTCGCTTTTCCTTTTGATCGAGCTATACGTGCACTTTGACCCTCACTAGATTCAGCAAATGGATTTCCTTCGTATTCTACCATATTAATGAAAAGTCCACTAGTAGCAGCAAGCCCAAATTCTCATCCAAATGGGCTGTAAGGTCGATTTGCATCCATATTATCACCAAAATTCGCACCATCACCATCATCATCTGGACTTAAACCACCACCATCATCACTCTGACTTGGTGTTGGACTTGAACTTGAATGAGACACATTCCTTTCTTGAGATTGACGTGATCGTTCAACATTCATTTCATTATCAAAATTATCTGCAGGCAACCAATCAGAGTTTTAACCATCTAATAGAGGATTTTCTTTCTCTTGCAGTCATTCTGTTAGTGGATCATCATCTTCAAAAATATGGTCAAGACTAATAAGATTAAAACTATTATTTATTACATCAATGCTCATTCTTTTCTGATGTCTTATCCTCAACCTCATGTTATAATAGGTATATACAAGTTTTTGGAGTCTTTCAAACTTCAATCTGTTTCTTGCTTTGCTGTGAATATAGCTAAATGTGCTCCAATTATGTTCACAATTTGATGCAGATATTGTTTGACTAAGCATTTTGATTACTAATTTTTGTAATTCAGGAACACAAGTGCCATATATCATCCACCACTAAGCTGTATAAAATTATTTAAATTAAATTTCAATGGGCTATACAATTAAATAATATAAATAAATTCTAATTATTTAACTTACTATTTACCTGGATTCATTTGCTTCCAAGCTCTTTGTGCTTATGGATTACCAAATGTTTCATGCTTGTCTCAAAATAATAACAACTACATCGATTGAAAATACAATAATAAATGAATAAATAAAAAATAATTTAATTTTTAATACATAAAATAAATGTTAAAGTTATAAAATAGTATTAAATACTAACATGATTAATCATTCTGATTTGAGTATCTATCGAAGGTTCTAATCTTTCAATAACTGCTTTTATACCTTCTAATGTTTCTTTAAATACATTTGCAGAATGTTTCACTCCAAATTGAAATTGTGGATTTAGATAGTAGCCTAAACATAATTTATAACAATATTATATTAAAGTAATAAAAAATAAATGTATAAGCAATTTAAGTATAAAAAATAAATATATTTTTTAAATACCATCTATATTCTTCGTTTACTTACCAGCTGAATGCAAGTCAGAGTGCATGAAACTCCATCTATTGTCAATAATCTTTTCATATTCAGCAGAATAATGACAAGTTTACTGAATTGCTTGTTTAGCTCTATCCACTGCCTCGTAAATAAAGCCCATTGTTGGTTTTTCATCACCATACACAAGGCGTAACACTTTTACCAAAGGCTCATAAACTTTTATTATATCACCTGTTTTTTTCCAAAAATCTTTTCCCAAAATGATTTTTTTGGCTTCATAAGCAGGTCCTGATTTTTGTTGTCCCCATTTTGAATCTTTAAATTCCTATATATTCATCAATAAATTTTTAGAATAATATATTTTAAATTAATATTTTAAAACAATGATATCATAAAAAGATGCTAGATTTAAATAGTTGTACTAATTACTAAGTACTAACCTTTGAATTGAACATCTCTCTCAAACTTTGCTTTTGCCTCATTATTTCTTTTAATTGTATGAAATAAGTGGCAAATCGGGTAAGAGCAGGACGAAATATTTGCTTCCCTTGTGTATATTTCTTCATCAAATTAACAGTCCAAATGTTATTGTATATAAAACAAGTCACTTTCTTTGCATCATCCAAAATCTTTGCCACATTTTTTTTCTTCCCAATATCTTCAAGGCACAAGTCTAAACAATGAGCTGAACATGCTGTCCAATACAAATATTTTCTCTTTTCCATTAGTCTTTTCTTATGACCTTAAGTGCTACCTCATTATCAGTGACTATTTGAACAATGTATTTTTCTCCAATTTCTTCCACAACTTCATCTAATAATCTGTAATAAAAGTTTGCATCTCTACTACGAACACTTGAGACATTTATAGATTTCCAAAAAATGGTCCCTTTACTACAATAAACAAGGAAATTAATGATATGCATTTGATTCAAACTATTAGTCCAACCATCACACATCAAAGTGACACCCAATTCATTCCAATAAGCTTTTAATCCATTAACCCATTCATGAATTTGTTGATACTCAGACTCTAAATACACATCTGAGACCTCATAAGGTGTTGAAAGTCATATGTTGGCCAACTTCTGCTGCCACAAAAATTAAATTATGTAACCATGGAGAATTTGTAATTGAAGAAGAAGTCGATCATATATCAAAAATTTTGATACTGATTCACCCATTTTTCTTCTTAATGTCTTAAGAAATGAATCACTTACTTTTGGTTGTCTTGAACTTTTACTTCTAACCAATTCAGGAATAGCTCCCCTTAATGAATATTCAGACTCATTTGGAGTTGATTTCCTTGTTCTTTCTTCAAAATATTTAGCAATTGAACCATAAGAGCTTCATCCTTCTTCATATATGTTACTCCAACCACTAGTTCTTTATCTGAATTCTTGTCTTCTGTGCCACTCATGTTGTGATTGGATACTATCTCGCACGGCTTGTCTAGTAGCAACGTTTTCATCAATAAATCCTTCATAATCATCTTTCCCTCTTAACTGTGATAAAAATTCATTTTTTCTCTTTTTGTTGTCAGTTTTTTTTTATTTGCTTTCTTGAAGGAGTTTCATCATACTTTCTCTTACTATACCTATTAATAATATGGTTAAAAAAAAAGAGAAAATTAGTTACACATACTTATGTAATTTTATAATTTTTATTAAGAAATTAACAAGAATATTTTCAAAGGAATTAAAAAAACATAACATACCAGTAACATTGGGGCATGGTGCAACATTGTCAGTTTTATGAGCAATGTGTTCTTTGAAACGTGTTATTCCTCCTTTTACACTTTACCACAAAGTTTACATGAAACATTTCCTCTTGTATTTGGCACAGGTGTTCAAAAATGCCAACCTATATCATCACTTGGCGCGTCATCTATTCCTTTACTCAGTAACTCTTCATATGGTGGCATACTTACTATTTTGTATAAAAACAAAATAAACTTATATTTAAAAATATTAATATTACTTATTACATCATTAAAAATTGATTTTACGCTAAATTTTTTAATTTTTAGTTTTTAATCTTAAGAATATTATTAAATAACTTAATCTTTTTGATACACTAATTGATATTAATTTTTTATCACACATAACTTCAAATAATTATATAATAAATACAATCTTCAATAATTACACAAAAATAATAAGAATTAATCTAATATCAAAAGAATTGACAACAATATAAATATCAAAACAATAAAAAAAATTATTAAATTTCATATACAAAATTATAAATTAATATCTAACACAATCAAAATATAATATTTAATTTTAATTAATTTTCGTCTAACTTATATAAAAAAAATTATCAATAATTTTCATCTACAATCTCTATGTATATCATATTAAATTATTAATCTCTTAATTTTTTTTAATTATAAATCTTTAATCCCTCTAATTAGATTTTATCTAAAAAAATTTCAAAAATTAAAAGTTTTCAAACTTATATTTTAATAAAATTTTCAAACCTATATTTTTTATTTTTTAGTTTTTAATCTTAATAAGAGTAATAGATCATAAAATGCTAAATTTATTAAGTAACTTAATTTTTTTGATTCACTAATTAATATAAATTTTTTTTATCACAAACAACTTTTAATAATTATATAATAAACACAATCTTCATTAATTACACAAAAATAACAAGAATTAATTTAATATCAAAAGAATTGACAATAATATAAATATCAAAACAACAAAAAAATATTAAAATTCAGATATAAAATTATAAATTAATATATAACATAATCAAAATATAATATTTAATTTTAATTATTTTTCATCTAACTTATACAAAAAAATTTATCAAAATTTTTCATTTAAAATCTCTATATATTATATTAAATTATTAATCTCTTTTTTTGAATTATAAATTTTCAAAACCACTAACTAAATTTTATCAAAAAAATTTTAAAAATTAATTACAAGATTAAATAAAAAAACTCAATCCCACCCTCTAAACACCCCACCACACCCAATCCCTCCTCAACCCCATCCAACCCCTCTCCACCTTCCCCCCAACATCCCACCACACCCAATCCCTCCCCGCCTTCCCCCCAACGCCCCACCACACCTAATCCCTCCTCACCCCATCCAATCTCTCCCCACGTGCCTAATATCCCAAATTTGTTTAATTCTTTCTAGCAAACGGCAGACCCTTCTAGAAACACTAATACTCTCTTCTGTTCATCTTCTTCTTCGTGCTGCCTTCCTTGGCTTTCCAGAATTTTCTTCTTATCTTTTTTTTTTTATCTCTCATTTTTTCTTGCATCCCTTTATCACTATCACTTGCTAACTTGCCTAGTATCTACAGATACCTCGTTCGTCTTTCAAACTCTCACAACAGATCATTTTACAAAAATTTTATCAAAAAAAAAAAGATAATTTAACTTTCTTTTCTTACCTTATTTGATTTTAAATGTTGATTGAAAACTTGAGGCTGATTTGAATTTGAATGCCGAAAATACCGATTGAATGGTTGAAACTTGAAATAATTGATCTATTTTCTAGCTCGTTTTTAAATTTATTTTAATGATAAAGATATGAGATTGTGAGCTTTATTTTTTGCTTTGGCTTTTACTTTTATTTTTGCAAGTTTATTGTTTTATTCTGCATACTTAAAATTTTATTTTTTTCTTGAACTATTAGATCCGTGAGTAGAAAAACGGAATAGTGGTAATAACGGACCGTTATTACCGCTATTTCCTGTTACACCATTATTTTGTAGTCGTTACTCTCCGTTTTTGCTGTAAATAAATTTTCCAATCGCTTTTTATCTAATAACAGTGACGGAGGATGGCGCTACTGTAATTTTGCGACCGCTATTCCTCTATTAAACCGTTATTTGAATCAACGACCTTATAATCATTATTTATAGAATCATAAACGAACCCTATCGCAAAAGTATAGACCGACCTTTTCTGAGAAAGAAAGATTGGATTGAGAAATAATTTTATACTTATCAAGATATGGATTCCAAAGAATGATCCTGGTACCTTGAAGTTGAAGATGACCAACATCAAATAAACAAACCAAGCCATTACAGGAACCACCAACGTAGAAGCACCAACGCAACGATTTAGAGGGTAATCCAAGGTCTAAACGGATATCATAGGTGTCACAAGTAACCAACCTGAACCTGGGTTTTTCAGGGTCCTGATACTTGACGAAGATCAAACCATAGTCTTTGTTGTTGGGATTCTTAAAGTGGCTGGTGATAAAATAGGATGATTTCAACAGAGAATTCCAAGTTTTATGCACGCAACTGAAATGTAAAAGAGATTTTATTGGAAGCCTTGAGAGGATATTGGACGTTAAATCTTCTGGTAGATCGCCGGCAACCATCTTTGCACACAAAGAATTTTAAGAAATCAAAGAGAGTTTTTTTTTTTTTTTTTTTTCGAATCACAGGAGTAGAGATGCTCTTATACTTATAGTACAGCTCAACTCTAATTCTAATAGGAAAGGAAACCCTTAGACGAAATCACGAGAATCTTGAGCTGCGTTATTGTAATTTTTTTTTCTCTTTTTTATAGTATTTTTATTATAGTCAAACTATAAAAAAAAAAAAAGAAATAACACAAAATAAAACTTTTAATTTATTTCATCCAAATAAAAATTAAAACAAAATTACTAGATAAAAAAAATTTCTACAAAACAAAGCATAATATAAATATAAATTAAATATCTATTTTATTAAGAAGGATAGAACATAGTATACTGAAAAAAAAAAAGTGTTTATTAATGAGATATAGTACACTAAAATAAAAGTGTTTATTAATGAGAATTTTATTGAAGGTTATATTTTGACCCTCGTTAAAAAATCATTTTATGGTGAGGCCCATCAATTAAAATTAAATCAATAGTTTAATCTCGTTTTTAAATCTATTAAAATTAAAATATGATGTAAAACTTTTAATTTTACATTAATATAAACTGATTTTTTTATTAATATTAAATATCTAGCTTACTATCAATTAGTAATAAGTAAAAAAATTTAACTTGAATATAAGACTACAGGATGTAGGATAGCATCACTTTAATAGATTTTCATCACGTGTAAATAAAGATGAAAGAAGCTTTTCACGTGATAAATTTAAAATGGATAACAAAAAAAAATCTTGACCTGATATCATGTTAAATATTTAACTTAAAATCAATTGACAATAAATAAAAAAGTTCAACTTGAATATAAGACTATATTATATTAAAAATTTATTAGATATAGGATAACTCACTTTAACATTTTTTTTTTTGAATAATTTTGAGAGCTTCTTTGCAATAGTGTAACATGATTAGCTACCAAAGGCAACTTAAGCGGAATCAAATTGATGAATTGAGATATCAACCTGTTACATGCCAAAGTCTTTTCCAGCTGGTTGATGAAGATCGCGCAAATGAAACTTTTAATCAATCTTGACGGATGAGAAAAGATAATGGACAAAATAGAAAGATATGATGAAGCCAATGGTGCCTGTTGACATCATGATTGCAATTGCCATGATCATTCAGTAGCCGAGATAAAGAATAGCTGATACAGGTCCACTCAAACTTTGTAGGTCAAAGAACAAGTAATTGTGGAGTATAGGAACACATAGAGTGCAACTGAACCCGAAGCAAAGAAAGCCTTCCACCACCATCTCCAGTCTTCAACACAGAGATGCATGTAGGTAAGGACCACTGACACTTCAGCACAAACGATGATCAGTAGCAGGAGAACAATAAGCAAGAAGCCAAACACATAATAAAACCTGCCAAGCCAGATGCTAGAAAGGATGAAGAAAAGTTCAAAGAACAGCGTTCCAAATGGAAGGTACCAGCACCAAGAACTAGAAGCCATGATGGATATTTACGTGCAGGAATCTCCCTAGGAATCTGTTGGTTCGTACAGGATATTGAATAGCTTCAGCTCTTGTCCCTAAGAATCGTCCCATGAGAGTGAGAGGCACAGAAATGCAGAACCAGAGAGACAGGAGTACAAAATACAGGGAAATGGTAATTGCACAAGCACTTTTGCTGCCCCACAGAATAAAATTCAGTACTGTAAGGATAACAAAAACAATTCCAGGAAAGAAGCACGCAACTGACAATAAGGGAGCAAGAGAGGATCTCTTTAACTTATGAAGTTGAATTTGTGAAAAGTGATACTAGATGGCCGTCTCGATGGGATGCTCATTTGAAGATGGAAGGTGCACTTGTGCACTGGTTCTCAATTCTAAGTTCTCTTATGGTGATCACTTTCCTAGCTGGTATCGTGTTTGTCATTTTCTTAAGGAATGTGAGGAGGGATTTGACAGGGTATGAGGAATTGGAAAAAGAAGCTCAAGCACGAATGAATGAGGAGCTTTCTGGATGGAAGCTTGTTGTTGGTGATGTTTTCAGAGAACCAGATTGTCCGAAGCTTCTCTGTGTGGTGATTGGAGAGGGTGTTCAGATTACAGGAATGGCAGCTGTCACTATAGTTTTTGCTGCCTTGGGTTTCATGTCACCAGCTTCAAGAGGAATGCTACTGACAGGGATGATTACTCTTTCTCTTTTCTTGGGTATTGTTGTGGGTATGTTGCTGTACGTCTCTGGAGAACTCTCAAAGGGAACTTTAGAAGGACGGAATTCCTTTTACGGTATCAAGTCAAGATTTCTTCTTTTTTTTTTTTGCTCTTTTTTAATTTATCATGTAAAAGGTTTCTTTCATTTTCTTTTGTAGGTTACGAGAGTTTCATTTTCTTTTGTAGGTTACAAGAGTTTGTTAAAGTAGTATTATCTCATATTTTGTAGTTTTATATTTAAATTGAATCCTTCCACATACTGCCAATTAATAGTAAGTTTTATGTTTAATATGATATCAGAATTAAGATTTCTTTTTGTTGTCCTTTTCAAATTTATTACGTAGTAAATTTTTTTTATCTTTTTCTAGATAAGAGCCTGTTAAAGTCAGTTATTTCACATCTAATAAATTTTTAATATCTTGTAATTTTATACACAAGTTGAACCCCTCTAATTATCGTCACTTGATTTTAAGTTAGATGCTTAATATGATATTAAAGTCACTTGATTTTAAGTTAGAAGTTTAATATGATATTAGAGTCAAAATTTTCTTTTATTATCCATTTCAAATTTATCACGTGAAAAACTTCTTCTATTTTCGCTATGCAGACTTATTAAAGTGGATTATCTCACGTCTAATAAATTTTTAATATCCTTTAATATTATATTCAAGTTGAACCCCTGTACTTACTGTTAATTAATTTTAAGTTAGATACTTAACAATTAACACATTAATTTATTTTACTCATTCTATTTGACACGTTTAAACTTATTTATTAAAATACATAAAATAACTTACAATTTAAGTTTAAACATTATTCATGTCTAAATGAGTTAGATTCTAACCAGATTAATTGTATTTAAATTTGTTAACTGTATCATATTATATCAACTCGTGTAATTAATAAACATATTGTGTTCATGTTAAGGATTTTGATACAATTAATTAGTAGTGTTGCCTCATTTATCTATCATTCCATGACCCAGTCACATGAATTAGCAGCTATAACTCCTCTTGGTTCACAGCTATCCCCATAGGAAAAAATTGGATGGAAAAGGAGATTAAATGAACCAGTTATCCTTTAATCACCATAGAAGGAACTCAACAAATAAACACACCAAATAACCACAAAGTACCAAATGAATCTTTAAAAAGTGGCTGGTACCTACAGCAACTTCTAATATATTTGCAAGCACATTTGAGTTCTTCATGTATCACTCTTACGTACAGAACAAATTCAATCACAAACTTCAGAAATTCATTGGCAACTGAACTGATTAAATGTTAATAGAAGTTCTCTAGAACCAACAGAATACACAAAGGATTATACACAGCTCTCTGGCTTCATTGCTTAACACGACTTTGCCTCATCAACAACAAAACAGCAATAATAACTGGTGTTGATATCATGACCAAAGCCTGAAAGATGTTTGGTCTGGTGATCTCAGGAAAAAGGATGCTTCCATACTTTATTATAGCTGCACCAACAGCAGAACCAGCTCCTAATTGCCAAAGATAATTCCAATCTTGCTGTTTGCACCAAAGATATGCAGAAACAATTAGCTAAATTCACATGTGCATTGCATTAAAATATCAGAAAATATGATGAATATTCATCAAGCCCTCAGAAGATTTGTCTACTTGCTTAGATTGTTAGAGGGCTTTAGGCTTTGCTTGTTATCCAATGGTTAAAATTCATAACCACTTTCGTAATTTGTAGCTTAACCATTAGATTAACAAGTTTATCATCCTTACCCATTTCCATCCTTCCTACCAAGCAAAGCCTTAAGTCTGTGGTGCTCACCCAGCCATAATTCACTCTAGTTCTGTTTACATATGTTTGTTTTAAACAAATAACATGGACCTGTAAGTAAACCATGGTTCAATTATATACAACATTAACCCTCCAAGCAGACCTAATTTGCTCAAAACAAATGAAGGTCACTACATCAATGCCATAACCTAGCGGAAATTAGATATGTCGTCTCATAAAAATCATTATCCATATATTTCTTTGATGAAACTAATTGCCAGAGTACGAGGGAACAGGATCATGATAATGCTAACTACGGAAAAAGAGTGTTATTCATATTGAATGCAACTTGATTAGTGATAACACCTCACACAGATTACTTGGAGCTGCACCGTCCTTTTTACCTCCTCCTCCCCCCCCCCCCTTCTTATTTTTCATCCTATGAAGTCACAACTTCAACCACCAAGTGTACTTTCCCCTCAAATCACACCACTTTCAACATTCCTCTTCTCTTTGCAATAACTTCAACAAGAAGCAGTCAGCCAATCATCAATTGTCATTAAATCACCTAAGTAGGATTTCATTAATTCTCATGAATTCATTTTTCTTGAATGTATCCATTCAGTAGTAACATCTTATCTCAGTTCTCAATAAAGATAAAATATATTCTAAGTCTCAACAATTTTCTATAAGAAATGGACCATTAATTAAAGAAGAAGAATAATTGGCTTTCAAAAGCTGCAATCTAATGCCAAATTGTTCAATACCTTGACTTTGCTTGATGGATAATAACCCTTTTCTTACCCCAAGCATCAACCATGGCTTCGAAACAAGAAGAGAGTAATTGACGACAGGAAAAGAAAGAGAAAAAAGCATGGCATTTTTTTATAATGACCCTTTTGTTACCTGATGCAATAACATTCAAAGGTGACTTGGCACAAAGTCATTTGATTTCAAAACCACATGCCAAGGCACTCTGTTATTGCATGGATGGCAATATTGTTTAGATTACCTACCCTTCAGAGAATTAGCTCCTCGCTCAATTCTTCGATTTCTCGTATCAACTGTCTGTTTTGTGGTTTGTCTCTGGAAAGTAGAGATCATATATTTTTCTCATGTTCCTTTTCTCATCCGGTATGGGCTGCTATTTTGCATCTTTCTCAGATAACTAGACCAGTTGATGATTGGCATTCTGAGCTTCAATGGGCTACTGCTAATCTCAAGGGAAGTCTTTGGCTGCTACTATTCTTAAGCTTGCCTGGTCAGCTCATCTATTTTTATTTGGAATGAGAGAAACAATAGTAAGTTTGGAAGAAACCCTAAGCCTGTCGATCATATTGTTGCTTGCATCAAGGAAACAATTCTTTCTTTTTTTTTTTTGTATTTGAAACTGCCAGGATTTGAACCTGTTCACTGGAACCAAGTGTACAGTACTCTACCAACAGACCGATGGCTGTTGACATCAAGAAAACTATTCGACTCAAGCTCAGCAATATTCAGTTTGCAAATATCTTGCAGAATTGTACTATTTGTCAGCATTGGGATCTAAAAAAGTCGTCTGCTTAGTCTCATGTTTTTATATTTGTAAAAGTTGTTGATATTGTCATTTTGTGTGCTACTTTCTAGCAGCCTGGTCTTGCTATAGCAGCTTTGCTGCTTTCTTTGAAAGAATAAAGTTAGCATTAATCCAAAAAATTGCCATTTTCGAAACATTCTACAGTGTAAAATTCAATCAAGTTTCACATTTTTCCTAACATTTCTTCTTCTTCTTATTCACATTTCACTCAACAGCAAGATAAGAAGAAGGCTTTTTTTTAACAGAAAGTAAATTTTGGATTTTTGAAAAATACCATTATTTCATCAGACAAGACAAAACGCAAAATTATAGAGAAACTGACCTGAGAGATGAAAGCAGCGTTGGATTCATCCAAGCTTGGATTTTCTTCTTCTGTTTGGGAGTCAACAGCGCGAATGAGAAATGAGCGTTGAAACAAGGTAGTTGAGGAGCGCTTGTTGGCGTCGATGAGAAACTTTACGGAGCCCTTGAGCTTTGAAGTGGTATTTAGTCGGCTGAGATTTAGCGTGGAGCAACAGAGACCGCTTGCCACGGCTGAAGCTGCCATTTTTTATTCTTTTTCCCTTTAGTTTAACGGCACTTGGATGTGGCGGAAGCCGTAAAGGATAGGTCACAATTGACTTGCTCTCCTTCCCTTGCCTTTCTTTTTTCCCTTTTTTTTTTTTTACAATTTTTTGTTTTTATTTACCTTAAATATTTGGTTTTCAAGGGAAAAATAATTTTCTTTTCATTTATTTATGTGTTTTTCCGTCACCTTTTATGTGTTTCGATTTAAAAACCCAATTTTACCCTTTTTCATTTTTTTTAGCTTTATATTCAATGCCGGTCCACTAAAAAACTTATTCAGCAGTGACAAAAATTTTCTAATTGTTATTATAAATTGAAGATAAATAACATTAAAAATTGTATCTAATTACTGGCCAGTAAATTGCTTTTTTTTTTCTGAATGACAAATTAAAAATAATGTGACTGAATTACATCATTTAGTTACAAGAAAATATTAGTACTAGTTGTTATTGATAATTACTTCACGCAACAAGTTTTCTTTTTTTCTTTTTTGAAAATTTCTTGATTGTTCTTATGTAGAGGTTTTAGGATTAAAGCCAATTTCTTCAAATTTTATATAATTTAAATTAGTAATATAATTTTTAATGATATAATAAAATATGTAAATTTAATTTCATAAATTAAAAATAATCATCTCCATTTTAATAGGATTAAATTATTTTATATTAAAAGAATAATTAATTTTTTTTGTAATCATATTATTTTCTTTAAATACAAATCAAATCAATATAAAATAATTAACATTATATCCTATTTATCATTTTATGAATCAAACATTATCTAAGAGCTTAATTAGATAAAATTTAATCAGATTTAATATAAAATATATTAAGTACAAAAGCTTTTTTAATATTTTAACTATAAATAAAAATATTGTCACATTTTTTCCTGTTCAAGCTAAAATCTGTTCAAAATAATTTGGGAAAGTTTTTATTTTGCAGTTAAATTAAATATTTTATTAAGGAGTGCTCTAAAATATTTTTTAAAATTATTATATTAAATAATATTTTATTTTAATACATTAGAAATCATCATATTAATAATCATTTGTTACATTTAATTAATTTGTGATTCGTGCACAAATTATTTTTTAATATAATTATACTAATAAATAACGTCTATTTAAATATAAAAAATTTTACCACAAAAGAAAAAGAAAATGACCATCAACATTTATAAAGATTTGAATATGAATTTTCAGTCAAAAGAAAAAGAAAATGATTTTAAATTAGAAAATAAAATATTGATTAATAATTGAGATTTGAGTGAGTTATAATGGAGATATTCTTTCTTTCTTTTTTTTTTTTGAAATGAGAGATATCCTTAGATTTCATTAACCAAATAAGTTAAAATTTTGAATTAATTGGGCATTACAATTTAAGAAAATTTTTGACTTTTTGAAAATTAAAATGAGAATAATTTAAGGAAATAGCAATGACATTTAATTTAATTGTGAAATAGAAAGAATATTTCAAAATTAATTAATATTGACAATTAATTTCGTACCTGATACAAAATTAAAATTTTTTTGTATTGATTAATAGATATATGAAATCAATTTAAATATGCCAAGTGTCAAAAGAATAAATCACCAATGTAGGAATTTTTTTTTTTTGTTAAAAACTCTTGTTTTTATATATTTGGTTATTTTAACATTACTGGCAAAAATTAATCAAAAATTAATTTCTCTAATATTCTGAAACAAAATTGAAGGAGTTAACAGAATGCATGTGTATGGACGTCTACATGAAATTTATAGAAATAAAGGTTTGTTGTTATAGTCTTTACTCTTACATTTTACATGAATTAATCAGCATTTGGACACCATAAATTACTCAATTGAAAAGTGTAAAAGTTATATCATAATTTGCAATATAAGGCAAATATATAATTATCCATAAAGCATATTTATTAAAATATTAATAAGTACATTTCATGATCTAATAGATTATTTATATTATACTAAACTTGATTTGATGAGATTATTACTCTTGATTTTCACTGGATTCAAAACAAAATTTTCCTACATTTTTAAAAATCCCTTTAGGCAAAATTTTGGAAGCAATTTTTTTCACAAAAATTGAAATCCCCAATAATATTCTATTTTCTCATTCGAAATAATGATTTGAGATTTCTTTCCAATCTTCTTGGACATATTGAAAATATTATTATTGGAGATCTTCTTCTCATCATCATTCTTAATTTAATTATTCACTTTTACTTTTGTGGTCAATACCATATATTTTAATTAACAAAGGCAATAATAAGAAAAAAAATCAAATAAAAAATAAAAGAATGAAATTCTAAAAGAAAATAAATAAATTTATATATACACTTATATAAATGGCAATGTGTATACTATGTATATAAATACATCTTAATTATAAAAATATACAAAATCCACTATTATTTCAATTGATAAATATGAAGAAAAAATGTATATGTATAGCATGTATGTACATATATACATCTTATAAGAATATAGAGAACCTACTATTGTTTTAATTAATAAATGTGAAGAAAAAAATAATTATATTTGGTTATAAAAAATTTAATAAAAAAAGATAAAGGGAATATCTTATACATATGGACCCCAATCTATATGCATAGGAAATATTTCATATATATATATATATATATATATAGATTGTACACTTATATTTATAGTAGTCAAATTAAATATAAAAGGCACGAGTTCAAACTGATACTTTAAATCACTCTCCGACGTTAAGACATTTTAAATTTAAATTTGATTTAGTAAGGAAGTTATAATTTAAGACATTAGTTTTGAAAAGGTTGTAGTAATTATAATAAATAGGTGTATGATTTTAGGTGTATTTAATTTTGTTTGCATATTTATATTTTCCATATAAGAACAAAGCTATAAAAAGTAAAATAACATATATTGAAAGGGAAGTTTAATTAATTCAATCAAATCAAAATAATTAATTACATGACATGCGACATTCATTTAAAATTTTATATGTATTAAAACAATAAATTATTATCATAACATATAGATCCATAAATCTATAGCTACACTTAATAAATCTTTTATTAAGGTGTGATTGGTCACCTAATTAATTTATCTTTTTAAAGAGCTTCTAAGCTTGACTAAAAGTCCTTAAAGAATAGATTCTAACCTTTTGAACAGAACTAGGTTTGGGAATTCGATTACGTATGAAAAATGTTATATCAGACTCACAACACCCATCCTAAAATGGTACCATTTAATTTTAAATTATCTTAGCAATCATCTTGGTTCTAATAGTCTTTATTTTAATGTTTAAATATTGGAAATAACTTCTACAATTTTTTCATTAATCTGAAAAAATTTTTAAAAATACTTTCTCATCTAAATAGTATACAAGAATCTTATTTATTTTTTTGAAGAGGTTCCGTCATCGAAAAAAAGGTTTGATTTTTAATTTTGATTTTTATTGAAAATATATCTAATTATTCTACTATTTGGGTCAAATTAGAAATATCTTCTAACTTAGAAATTTCTTAGATAATATCCATTTGTGATTACTAAGAATTTCATCATTGAAATTTATTTTTATTTTTTATTTTCTAAATTTTTCACTATTTTGGTCTATTTAAAAATTCTTTTTTATCTCTAAAAAAAAATAATATGACAATTATTTTTTATTATTTTGAATTGAAAATAAATATTTATTATTATTATTATTGAAACTTTATCTAAATTATTTCATCATTTGGGACAATTTAGAAAAAGAATTTTCACCTAGGAATTTTATAAAAATTTATCATTTGTAATTTCTAAAAATTTCATCATTGGATAATTATTATTTATTCTAAAAAAAAATTATTAATGTTTTATTTCATTTATTTCTTCTAACTTTTCCTAAAATCCAATCATGCAAGCTACTTCAAAAATAAAAACAAATAAACAAATTTAAAAACTAAAAATGAAAAGAAAATACCAAATAAAAAAAAATCGACTTGGCTTAGCTGGGTTGCGGCTCAACTATAGGCACAAGAACTAGCTGAAGTAGTTAATGGAATGGCTCGGCTCGACTCAGCCACAAGGCCAAGAAGATGGGTTGCTGGTTCAAGTCACGTTAAGGTCAGGTTACCTACTTAGAAAGCATACGAATCCTACCCTTCTCTATAATGTCCAAAACGACATCATTTTACTTGGTTATAAAAGCCAGAGTCTTTTTTCTTCAGACCTCACTTTTTCCCTCTCTCTCTTCTTTCCTTTTTTCCATTTATCACTCTAAGAATAGAGGAACCCAAGCCGAAAACTTCAAGGGTTTCCAAATCTTGGCACCAATATTGTTATACTCAACCATCATCCGATGTTCAGTCAAGCCAAAATTTTTACCGTCATTGTTTCTCGCTTTCTTCATCTCGAATATAGGCTCTTTTTATCGTAAATCACTACCCAAAGGCATAGATTTGAAGCTTAAGCTATGATTTTTCCTTCTCCATTTACTATCGAATATTTTCCAACTTTTAATATGTTATTTCTTTCGTCAAGTTTTTTGTCTTGACTGTTCAGATCTCCTAGAAGTCACGCCGATCATCGCCTATCATCACTACTACTAGAGGTGGGTTTCTGGTTTCCCTTTTTACTCCCCTTTTTTTCCATTTTGATTGATTTTTCACTTTTCATTTTTAATCTCCTTGGGCTTCTGACATAAATTTGTTTTTTTTGAACTTGTGTTGGCGTGGTCAACTGATAATGGGTGACTATCTAACAAGACCCTAATGGTGGTGAGTTGATGGTTCAATGATGGTACCAGCCATGGTTTTGGCAATATGGGATGATTATGTTTGATTCTTGTCATTTTGTTATCTAATTTTTTACTGTCTGTGATAATGAAATTTTTGGATTAGTTTCGGGCTATAGACGATCTCAATAGAGGCAAGGGTGTTCTAGTAAAGAAGATGGTGAAGTTATTGCTGGAATTAGGTAAGGTAAAATGGTTATCAAAAACGGCTAATAGCTACTTTTTTTGTTGTTTTTCAGTGGTTTTCTATCTAATCATTGTATATTGTTGTCTCCGTGTGTATGGTGAAAGGATTAGTTTGGAATTTGGCAAATGAAAATAGAAG